AGATGTGGATAAGAGACAGTGCTTAAGAGTTGCTACCATATTGGCACAGTAGCAGGCAACCCCACCAGGGACCCATTTATACTCCTGGGTGTAGAGAAGCAATGAAGATAAAGTGCCTTTCTCAAGGACTCAGGCAAAATGTACAGCGAGGATTGAAACATCGATTAATGCCTGTCTCTTATACCTGCTAAAGGAGCAAAATCGTAATGGCCTATAACTTCATAAAAAAATTGCCAAAAATGATTTTAAGGTTGATACTATTACAAGTGACATCAAAAATACCCTCTAGAAAAAAAATCATCTTCCTAGACTAGACCAGTGTTAATTTATTTATTACTTTGTATTTACCTTTCAGTTTAATGTGATTAGTTGGAAAGAAAACAATGAAACTATGGTAAAGATTATTTGGACAGATGTCAGGGAAGCTGTATACTATGTTAAGGTATATTTAATAAAGCCTAATGCTATTAATCTACCATCATTTTTGTTTGAAATATTACATATTGAATGATGGGAAATCACCTCGCCCAATTTATAGACTTATTTCATGTTGGTAAAATTGTGACCAAATCAGTTAAAATGCGACATTTGGATTTCCTGCAGGGCCAATAAAGTTTCATGCTTTTTAAATTTTGTTTTTTATTTTTTCCCAATTGAAGTTGTAACTAAAAACTAACTTGATTTGGTAAATATATTGTTCTTTTAGATGGAACCACGTCCAACAGCTGAGGGGCAACAGTGTTCAACAAATAATGCTGTCAGTTGTTTTATAACAACAAAGGATGTGATTGTTAAAGGTAAAGACAATGTTATACGTCTTGTGGGGGCACCTAGCCAGGTGTGTCAGAAGGGAAACTTCCCCCTTTCCCTATTTCGTACAAGCATCCAACACCTCCTGAAGTTGTCAGACCAAAAATATTTACTTAACCGAGATTTTGTATTGGCAAAACACAATTTACTTACTATTCAAAACCTTAAAATCTTCTCCTTTGTGTGACGCAGAAAGGGTGTGTTTCTGCTGAGCAAAAAAACACATGTTTTTAAACTTATTGAAATCATGTGTTTTTTCCCAGCAGAAACGGGCCATAAAACAAAAACACGGTTAGGAATGCATTCTTAAAAATGCATGTTTTCACACGCATTAGTTATAGGGTTGGCGTTTAGAAAACACATTTTTTTTTTGGTCCACTTTCCAGCTGCAATGCAATACCAGTTAGTAATGACCTGTCAAATTGACCTCTTCGTTAGTTCTATCGTTCGTTCACAAGAAATTTTGAGGCGAAGAAAAAAATTATACCAATAGGATGACATGTTTTAGCCTTACCATATTTTTTTTTCATACTTTCACAGTGTGTTTACTTCTTTCACAGCATGTGCTGTAGCCCACAGGAAGTAAGGTCAACTTCAACTTACGTAGGTGATCGTCCACCTACTAATCGCCCACCTACTAATGCTTGCGTTCCAATTTTTTTATTAGTTGCACTTTTCACTAGAAATGCATTCTGAGTGAATTTATCCGTTTTTAAAAACTTGTGTTATATAGCGTCATTCAGCAGAAACATGTTAAGTGCCATCTTAAGAGTAGCCACTTGATAGATTAGGTTTAATTGTTGGCTTTTCTGTAATTCTCTTTTGGCTGTCAAATTACATTGATTATTCGTTTTTGTATGTATTTTGAGAAAAATAAAGGAAATGAAATTTAAAACTCGCAAAAAATCCATTTAATTTGCAGCTCGACCCTGTGAGAGGATTCCAGATCCTTGTGAAGCAGAACACATGAGATGCAAGGAGGAAGAATCAGAACCTACTTGTTTCTGTGAAAAAGGTTTTGAGATGCAAAACAAAACTTGCGTAGTTGCGTCTTGTAAGTAATAATTAATAAGAATGACATATGAGACAAATGTATTGTTGAACAGTGGCAGATTCCTTCGTAATAGAGGGGGATCAGTGGTCCAGGCCAGCTTAGCCCCACCATGGTTGGGGCTCCGGTAAGAAAATTTATGATTATGGTAACTCTAGATGCCGGAAATGGCACTCTCAGCCTTAAATTTTTATTATTGTTTTTGTTTTTTCTCCTTTTTTTAATTTTGAAAAATTAAGGGGGAACCTGAGCCCGTTGAATCCACCACTGTTTAAAGGTTTGCATGGCTGATAAAGAATAATAAGACTCTTGTTACTTGTTATTTTATTGCTTGTATAGTGCTCTTAAATTTCAGATATGAAGTGCTTTAAGTTTTTCCGTGATCATTAGGTCTACATGCTAAAGTGTTTCTGCCATATTGGCACAGTAGCAGGCAACCCCACCAGGTACCCATTTATACTCCTGGGTGTAGAGAAGCAATGAAGATAAAGTGCCTTTCTCAAGGACTCAGGCAAAATGTACAGCGAGGATTGAAACATCGATTAATGCTGATATATTGATTAAATTTTTGATATTTTGCACCATTTAAATAGTTAAGGAGTTAAATAAAATTTGAGTTTTATTACTAAATCTTATCATTGGGGGCCATTTTTCCAGGGAAATTTTTTCCTGGGCTTTTTTTTTTCTGGGCCATTTTTGCATACATTCAGATTTTTGCTATTGAGACAAATGCAACAATTTTTTTTTCTGGAAAAATGTGAAACTTACAATAACTATAATAAAAATTATAAACTAATTATTATATATGGAGTGGTTGTTCTTTAAAGATATGCCAATTGTAAAACGGAACTTACCAGCTAAATTTCGGCTACCTTTGGTAGCCTTGATCACGCAAATGACGCCTTGTTGTTACAGTGACGTTCATGCTTCAGTGATTATTGAAAAATTACTACTTTTTTAATGCCAATTTCTGACCTGAAAAATTCATTGCAGGATTCCTTTGTTTTTTCACTTTTGTTTTGTTTACATTTACATCCATTAAATAATTGAAAACATAAATTATGTAGTTTAAATTATCATAGAATTTACAATGAAACTTAATTTATAAAATTATTTTTTAAAACAAAATAAAATAGGTAGCATTTTATTAAAAAAAAACACATTTTACATAGACGTAAGTTGATTTAAAAATGCTGAATCATTGTTAATGATATATATCTATTATATATTTCTATAAATTAATCAACAAATATCTCAATTATCACACTATCGTAAATAAGACTATTGAAGTATTTTTGAAGTATTATTATTGTTTATGCATTATTCCAGCGCCTTTATTATAATCATAATTATTATTAATATTATTATTATTATTTTATATGTTATTTATCAACCATAGTAACATTGAAAACATAAATTATGTGGAAAAAAAGTTATCAGAGAAAATAAACTTATAATTTATAAGATTATATTTTAAAACAGAATAAAATAATAATATATTTATTTATTTATTATTATTATTATTATTACTCTTTTATTCATAATTTTCGCTGTATTTTTTGTTTTATATATGGGCCTAGGCATATGTATATATTTCAAAAATAGAAATAATTATAATAATTATAAAACATATATAATATAATGTTAACAATAATAATAGGATAGCTAGGCTAGACCGAACCAATTATTGATACCATAATCTATCGATAAAAACATCCATTTGATTAATTAAACAGCAGCATTTCGAGTGGCAGTGCCGATAGAAAACTGCAGTTTTTTGGCACTGGGGCAGTGCCAATAGAAAATCGGAGCTTTTTTCACACTGCGGCAATGCTGATAAAAAAATAACAGCTTCTTTTCGCACTGTGGCAGTGCCGATAAAAAACAGCAGCTTTTTCGCACTGCGGCAGTGCCGACAGAAAACAGCAGCTTTTTTTCGCACTGCGGCAGTGCCGATAGCCTCAGCCTTATTGGTCAGTCTCTAAACAACTAAATTGTACACGGAAGTAAAAGAAGTTTGAAATTAAAATTGAAATCACAGCAATAGGCTTGTACCTCAATTATTTCCTGATGGCAATGACGTAATTGAATCCTAGATCTTATGTTTTACAAGCTGGCTTATCGGATAATTTGCTTTAAAATTTTAGTGTATTCCTGTGAGGAAGGATGGGATTCTTTTGACAGCAGCTGTTATAAGTTTTTTGAAACATCAAAAACTTGGCAAGACGCCAGAACTGCGTGTTTGAACATGGCAGCGGACCTTGTCGTCGTGAGAAATCAAGAAGAGAACGATTTTCTCTATAACTATTCTCGAAAGTATCAGCGTCATTTCTGGCTAGGCCTCACAGATATACAGAAAGAAAACAACTTTATATGGATTGATAGTGGTGAATGCAGCAATTTTTCAAGTAAGCATATTGGCCAATTAGGCTACCAAAGACTTTCCCAATGTTTCCATTGACCATTTGAAATACTGTATTTTTTTCTTTAAAATCTTGAAAATGCTTCATATGGGCAATTCCACAGATTGATGGTCATGGCATTAAAAATTCAAATCAACTTATTTAATCAGAAACATACTTTTTTCCCCATAATTATACATCCTAGTGTGTGTAATTTCCAAAGAAGACCTAAGTTTATGAGGTAATTTAGAATAATTTGGTTTCAAAGTTAAAGCATATTGTAAATATGACGAAATGAAAAAATGTAGCGAAATGTCAATATTAAATTTTGCTAATAAATGAAGGATATACTAATTGCATACACATAATAAGGCTATGTTAGTCTTAATCTCCCTAATAAACACCAATTCACACTCAACTGTCATTTTAGATAGACTTTTTTCGTATCATTTAGGTAATGTAACATAATTAACCAAAAACGTTCAAATTTTAATTTTATCTGCTTTCTCAAATGAATTCAATTTTGAAAATCAGGGTTTTCCCCCTTCCCAGCAACCTTGATGCAAATATCAAAGCTTGTTAGCAATAATTAACAAATGTTAAAATAATTAGCAATTTAAGTTTGTAACGCGAGTAATTATTGTAACATGAGTAACCATATTTTAATGTGAGTAACCACGAGAAGCTCTATAACTGCATGGCTAAGTAAGTTTGCATGCATTTATGATATTTCACGATAGGAGATTCTCTCAGTCAGCTAATCTGGTGGTAGCCACTGTGTGTGCACTGAACCTTAGGGATCTCTAGGTCCCCGGTTCATTTCTCATCGCTGCCTCTCCTTGTGTTTTAGCTGGTGGGCTGAAATACAAGTTACAATAGCGCACCGTCTTTCAGATGAGACGTTTAAGCTGTTGGTCCCGTGTGCATTTATGCCCCATGTGCACATTAAAGAACGCAATACACCCTTCGGAAAAGAGTAGGGTATTGTCTCCCAGTGTACTGTCTTCTTCTAGACTTTCGTAGGCTACCTTTGGTGTTTACACCGAATAAATTCAATTCCCCCAAACAACGGTCTAACCTATGCATTTAAAAGGAAAGCATAGGCCAAAAGTCAGATAAATTTCAGTAAAAAATATTTAATCTTTGGCCAAATAATATAAAGTTAAGATACAGTTTAGGGAAAATTTTCTTGTCGATTAAAAAAACCAAAGGTACTGTGTAAGGACAACTTGATTTCTCGCTTCGAACAAGGTATCCATTCGTAGAAGTCTTATGGCTTATAAGCCTATAATTAGAGTGGCTCTAAAGTGGTCGAGACAAGGACATATCTCCACTTTAAATTGAACACAGATTGAAATATGTTAACTATAGACACAATATACACCAGGCCAAAACACTTTAAAAAATTAAAATTAACAAGACTTCTACGAATATCTTGTTTGAAGCAACAAATATTAAAAAATGATAATGTAGCCTGTAATGTAAGTAATAAATTAGGTTTAATATTTTCTAATACTAACATTATTGACAGTTCGCAAATGGTCTATACTATTGTTTAAAGAAGCGTTTGCTATACGTAGGCTACACCTATTGACAAAAATAAAATGGGAAAAAAAATGACATTCTAGTTGCTTTTAATATGTCATAAAACAATAAAGAATTATATAATAAACATATCGATGATTTTCCTTTTATTTTTAGATAACGCGTTTTTCTGAAAAACGAGTTTTAAATCATCTATTTTTTTTATGAATTCTGTATCGCTAAGCTCCACCTTCTGAATCTGACCCGAATTTGACCTTTACCGGATATGACATACACTCGGTACAACATAACACAGGATGTTCGCGGGATCGCGACTCTTAGCAACACAAACATATTTGGTAGTAGGATTCACAGGTTTACGATATTCTCAGTAAAGGCCTATGGTAATACGCTGGAAATTCGGAGAGTAATTATTAAATAAACATTCAAAACATACTAACAGCCCTCGAAATTAGCGTCAGCATCACGTTATGAACACAATGTAAGAGCGAGTAGGCCTAGGCCTAGCTAGCTAGGCCCTATTCTCTGCATCCACCCCAAACCACAGAGCCCGTACTCGCACATACAGCGAATGTGTTTGAATAAAACATTTAAACTATTTGTTTTGACTTACTTTATTCATGATGATTATACACAAAATACACGCATATTATTGTATATACTATTTTTTATGACCGACGAATTTGTTTACTTTTTGGTAGAATACGTCGTATTGTGGATCGCATGCTCTCTACAACGTCGTTTTTCACGATGTTCTTCGCTCGGCACAAAATTGTTCTGACTTTAGTGATGATATGGGTTTAATTACAGTATCTTACAAAAATATATACATGCATATTGTGTGCTATATTATGACGGACGAGGTTGTTTACATCTTGCTTCAAAGCATACTTCGTTCGTAGGGCGGATCATTTGTTTTCTACAACGTGTAGGCTGAAAGCTTCAAAAGAGCTTTCTTTGAATTGTAGGTAGCTTTAGGGTAAGAATGCTTTGATCTTTAGTTTATTTATAACTACAGTATGTCACCTACTAGGGGTAATGTTTTGATTGGTCAATCACTTTTGGTACTTGTGCATATAAGCTTACAAAAATGGATAATTTTTCATTCCTGATGATGTCGTAATTAATGTAGAAATATTGAATCCCGACACGACGGGGTGCAATTCGATACTTGTGGTATGTATACTATCAAAAAATGTAATGCGGGTAACCAACACATTTTGATGTACCACTAATTCTAAAACTTCGGTAGTCAAGATACATAAAACGTATTGCAACGAATATTACTTGGGTAGTCATACCCATTAGACCACTGTGACTTATATGGTATACGTGCAGATATAACCCCATGCACATACTTTCATACAATTTTATAGTGAATCTCTCACACATAGTGGAGCTATGGATACACCACAAAAAGCTTCTAGGTTACAGCTTGGAAATCATAGTAATACCATCTAAACTAAATTCCTCCATGGTAATACTGTTCAAATTAGGTTCTCTGCGCACACCGTAAACAGAACAACACACGCCTTGATAGCAAGAGGTTGCAGACTCGAATCTCGCCAGCTACACATTTTTGAAATACAGCTGAAAAAAGGCCTCTTTCGTTGAAGGGCTATGCTTGATATGATTATAATAACATTTTGTTCCTATTCGAGATTGTGCTATTATTTATTTATATTGTTTTACAGTTTGCTACAGCTCCAATATGGAAACGTTATATGGAGAAAACACTGCTCAACACATATTGAAAGTTACATAACCTACAATGTAGAATATATAACAACATGCTAGATCACAACCCTTATTTAAACAATTTAAGATACAGTACTTACATTTTACAGGCGGTATGTTTTATATCGAAATATCATCTCAATCAATTACCCCCTCCCTTATACAAAATCCTTGATTGTAATACAACAGTAAACGTACAAAACCATATGAAATTCAAATAAAATGGTATGTATATACCCTTTTTAAGACTGACATCCAGTCACAGGTCTATATTTATTCGCGGACCAATATGGAATGGGCTATATGATAGTATTTTTAAACTCAATTCGATAAATTGGGTCAAAGGAAATTTAAAATAGATTATATAAATATTAAGGAAAACATAGTTTTATTTCTGTAAATCATTTATCATATTTATCTTTTTTTAACATTTCATCTTGATAGTCATTCATGATTATTGGCACCTTTCGGGGCAGTATACGGTCCTAGATTTACTTTTGATGCCTATGTAAATTGTGTAATACGTACTTTGTGAATACATGTTTCAAAAGCTAAATTTAACTTGGTCTACTATGCACCAGATGGCGCCAACTTCTCCTATCAGCGGTCGCAGCTCTTGCTCTTGTCCATGATGTCCATCCCCTCTTATTCAACAATCAACACATTCAGACAGCTTTACATTAAATTCTAAGAAATTTGTGGATGTGTTTAATATTCGCTTTGGTCTTTTTTCATTAGGCCTTTTTTTTTGTATTTTTTCAAATTGATTGGACAAACTGTATTTTGTATTATTTTTAAACTGATTTTCGAATTTTGAGGTTCTGAATAGGCTTGTTAAATGTTTTTAAGGGTTTTGTGATGTTTGTACTGTACTGTTGACCTTTCTTATTATGTTCATTGCTATATGTTTTGATAATTTTCTTATACAAGACCATTTTTTAAAAACAGACTGTTACATCTTGTCTGAAATTTTATCCTGTATAAATATGTTTTAAATTAAAAAAAACCCTGCTTATTTCTTTTTTTTTTTTGCTTTATCCGGCCGCCGCCATGTTGCCTTAAGCCTTCCTCTCTTTCTCTTTCTCTTCCTTCAGATACCCATGTCATGGCAATGCTACAATCATTTACACGGACCTGTCTTAAGATATTACCAATCCATCACGTGAATATTGATCATAGAAAACTTTTTCAGAGCAAACATTTTCAACTATTGATGTATGTCTTTTTATAAAGGCCTAAATATATCAATGATGTTTCCTCAAACGCACGACATCCAGCTTCTAACAATATTGCGTTATTCTCAGCATTTATTTTGCAACAAGAATACATGACAATTTCAATTTCGTATTTATCAGTGGCACTCGCTATAATTGCGGTGCATTAAAAAATATACACTAAGAATATATTGAAATAGAGTAATACTGTAAAAGAGACCAGTATAGCATACTTCACATTAAAATACGATAAAATACATTAAAATAGTAGACCATAAAATATTAAATTACCGTACAAGACAATTAGTATATATTGTACAAATTACATTCATTACAGTCTTCACAACATATAGAAATTTACTTATAATTAAAAAGAATTTAATAAAGTTAACTGTTATTCATTTGCTAAAATGTTACTTCTTGTTTGCAATGCACTCTTTAGGTATGTTTTACAGGAAATAATAAACGAGTAGTTTATTACTTCTTCAGTTTATGTTCGTGGTATGCATAGATGTTATCTTTACCTAGTAAGAATTTTGACAAACTTTAGACGTTGGCAATTTTTGAATTGCCTCCAGAGAACAGTGAATAAACACAGCTCGGTTTAACTCGTTCTCCCACTCAAAGAAATCAGTATCTAATGTCCCAGACTTAGCATATTGATCATAAGATTAAACAATCCATTTGTGTTGTATTTGTACATTATACCACACATTGCTGTGACCGGAAAGTAATGTAGTTGCTTGCTCAATTGTTGTATAAAGAAAAAAAGCATCGGTGAAAAAATACAGCCCTGTTTAACTCCTTCTGTCGCTCAAAGTGTAAATAATCTCCCAAACTTAACCATAGTTAAACATTTTTATACAAATTATTTAGGCCTAAGGTCATCCATACTTTACCTCTTGTAGGCCTACCAGCCTTGCTGTAGTTAACAATTTGTCATGCCACACAGTAAAATGCTTTATGGAAGGTATACTGTCACGTTTTCAAAAAAAATCATTGTAATCAGATTTTATTCTTTACACCCTATCCCCTATTGGCCTATACGCAGGGCCGTCGGAACCGCGCAGGCCGCATCCGCTATGGCCGGCCTGCCCACATTTTTTCAGTTTTATATTACTAATAGATTAAATCAACTATTATTGATAATCATTACTTTTTAATAATAATAATTAAGATTAATTTTGAAAATGTTTGTATAGGCCTAACATAAAATAACAATTAACTATATACAATTTTGGGGATTCTTTGTTGGAGAAGGCGAAAACTGTCATCAACACACAGATACATACGATTCAAGCCTGCCCCGATTACTTGCAATCAAAATCAAAATTTACCCTAAAATGAAGAACTTTCTTTTTATTAAATATGCATGCATGTGCTATTTCCAGGCATCTAGAGAGGAGTCATTTTCTTCAAAATCTTATTGTATCTCATGCATACGCATGAGTTCTTTTCGAATGTGAGCTAACTAATGCAATGTGAGTGAATAGATACAGAGAATAACGTAATATTATTAGCTGGATGTCGTGTGTTTGAGGCAACAACATTGATATTTTTGGGCCTATAAAAGACACACACGTCACCAAAAGTTTTTCTGTGATGAATATTCATGTGATACTCGCCAAATTTCGGCATCATTGCATTACCATCGAGCGAAACCTTCGCTTACACAGTGGCGTGTTCCTCAGTCCACTGTAGAACATATACCAGGGAGTTATAAAGGCCCCTATCCCTCCCTGGTATACCCCTCCTCTAAAACTCTTCCACTTTGATCTGTCTGATGTGTATTGTCACGTAATGTTCCTGACAGTGAATGTAGTCTGATCTATTAAAATTCAGAATCTACTGAGTCAAATGAATCACTGTTTTTATTTTTGCATTGATTCAAATATGTGACCCAAGACCACAAAAGAACCGTAAACTCGCATTACCAGGTTTTAAAAAAAAGGGTCAAATAAACAGTATAACATGTAATTTGAGCAAAATGTGATTATGTCATAAACATAAAGTATTTTACCTTTAATCTTGTTAGTTTGGGTTCAATATTTTAACTCTAAACCCTAAAATTTAGTAATTTTATGAAGGCAACGAGAAACGTATATAAATTCACCAACTTTCAAACCGCCATACTTTGATTCCAAACAACTTTTTTACCTACACAAAATTTAGGCCCCCAACTAGCTAAAAGAAAACTATCGGATAGTACGTTTATGATTACTCGTATGCTATGTATGTGATTTCAGAATAAACAAACAGTATAGTTATAAAGTAGTATAATGGTCACAGAGCCAGGTTAGACCTACTGAGAACATTTCGGTTCTTTGCAATGAAGTAAATAAAAAACGTATTTATGAAGTCATTCAAAATCGTGTAAAAAAATATCTGAACAAACTTTAAAGTATGTTCCGAAGGTATTTGTAGTAGTACATCGTACTGTGGTACAAAGCTTACGTAAATCTATACCTAAATGAAGGAAATAGCTTTGAATTAATTCAAAGAATACTAAACTGTTTCATGACCTGTTGGAGATTTGGTAAAAACATGGAGGATAAAAATAGAGAACAATCCTCTTGCCCTCTGGCAGTGAAGCGGATCAAAGAAGATGTAGAGATTGCGGTTGAGTACATGTTAAGAGACTAGTTGTGGTTATTGAAACTTAAAAATATTGACGCCAAAAAAACAATCATCTGCACTATTTTTAGCGATGTGAAACTAAAACGTATTGAAGTACATTCACACAACGTCATTAAACTTTGCAACGGTCATCGCAAGAAGATGCGTAGTCCACAGGCGGAGCGACGATCCTTTTAGCCTGTCTCTTATACACATCTAGATGTGTATAAGAGACAGACTTTCTCCCGTCCGGAAAATTGGCCATTCCAATTCCTCCACTCTTCGCAGTCGGGAACATCAGAATATTGTTGCTTTCATTTTAGGTGGGAGAAAGGCGCTTATTAAAAAAACCATTAAATTTAACATTTGGTATAATTTAGCATAATTTTCCATCAGTCCTTGGCATAATTTGATTTGGATCACTGGTCACAAAATAGGTATAGGCCTAGCATTCAATTAAGTATTGCGGATGCATAAATAACGCTAAGTGTTTTGATATTAAAGAAGATAGAGAGTAGTTAATGTGATCTACCAGTATTTTAATGATGGAAGCGGTAGTTCGAATGGAGGAATTATTGTTTCGTTTAAACAGCTTGTTTACCACCTCCCTATGCTACAACGTAGCTTGCAACAATAGAAATTCTGATCATTTTACTGTACTTGTAAATACTTGCATAATTCTGAAAATGTATTTTTTAAATGTTCATAAATTTATTAAAAAAATCCAGACCCCCATAACCCCACCCCGCCCCTTTTTCATCCACACCCCGACAAAACTCTCTAACAAGGCTTGACGAATAAAACACTTCTTTTTTTCAAGTCTGTCAGCCTCAGTGATCAGCTGTTCTGTGCATCGCTTCACTTGCGAGCATAGCATGTAATAGTCAGGTAGGAACAGGGGGTTCCCATGCACCCCCAGGATATATTTTTTTAACTAACATTTTTATAATCCTCAAAGGGTTTCATGAAAAATCTTGATGTTTCCATAAAAAAAATGTCCCATGGGGTAGTTTGGTGGCCATTTTGGTGTCATCTTGGATTTTCAACGAAAACCATTAATTTTTATAATTCATTGACTAAAAATCATATAAAATCAAATAAACCTCTAAATGTATATAGTAAGCAGTGTTTATGTTCTTAATACAAAAAGATTGAATTCGCATTTACATTTGACGGCCATATTGGCGGCCATCTTAAATGAAAAACATTAATTTGTATAATTTATTAACTAAAAATCACATAAAATCAAATGTATACAGTAAGCATTGGTTTTATATTCTAAATACAAAACATTGACTTAGCAATACATTTGGCGGCCATACTGCCGGCCATTTTGAATGTTCAGTTTCAGTTTATTTATTAGACCAACAAGGTCGGGGGCAGCTTAAGCAAACAAATCACTATAACTTTTTCAAGTCAGCTGCCCCCTCATACAATATACAATTCGATAAAAAGACAAAATTTACAATTTTAAACATCAAAAGTGAAATATTAAAAAAACAAAAACAAAAACAATTCAATGAAAATTAATTATTAGTATAACATTTGACCTATATATCATACAAAAAAATAAGTAACCAATGTTTTTAGAGTAATGTTGTCATTTGGAATTGATTGAGAGTGCAGTACACTACACTCTCCCCCAACTAACTTTATTCAGACGGTCTGGGGCCTTGCGAGCATCTTCGCAATAGGGGTTTTTGATAGAGGACTATTTGACCTTTGTCAATTGGTTCACTCACTCCATGGTTTTCGACCACCATTTGGGTTTCAGAGAGTGTGAAACTTTGCGTTGGCAAAGGCTCAGGGTGTGTTACCACATGTGGATCCCGCTGCTTCCTCATGAACTTCCCTTGCATTATACCCACTTACGTCATTGACAGGAACACTAGCCAACAGATGGTCGGCATGACAATAGCTTTGGGCTCCCGCAACACCCACCAAATAGGTAAGAAGACCCAATCTCTTAATTACACATCCCTTTACATGCTTAATTAACCCATCTCTTTTGTTTTTAACTCCAACATGTTCACCCACGTCACATTTCCTCAAGTGCTCTACCTTACCGGCAGTGAAAATTCGCTTCTTATGCCTTAGGGTTTAATAAGACAAACTTTATTGTGGGGATCTTGCTAAAACGACACCAGAATATTTAAAATCATTTGAAGTTAGTTCGGACATAGGTTGTCTCTGCTATGAAATTAGGGGGAGGGCTTCCATGCAGCCACCAACCGCAAAAGTTTGGAGAACATACTCCTGTCAAATCTCCATGGATGGTGGTTTCCTCTGACTGCTTCCGTGGCTCCTTGATGACAAAATATTTTGTGAATGGCTGGTTGATAGGGGTAACTTTTTCACCAGTACTTGAGACAAAACCACCAAATCCTGGAACAAGTTGTTTCTCTACGCTTCCCACTGCACGTGCTAGTAACCAGATATGATACTCTCAGATGCACTCAGATGCACAGTTTAGCGCAGGCAGAATGAATGCAGATCCCTCAGACAGTTTTTGGCCCAACACGACTATATATACACTGATGCCAGGATCTTGGCCATATCCACTCCCATGAGCGCATCTTGCTTCATGCGTACACAGTTAGCTTCCGGAGCATTTTCTCCCTGGTTGCTGGCTCCAAACTTGGGTTTCACCTCCTGTACTATGATTCCAGCCCTGTTCAACACCTTTGAACCAAGAATGTTTGTCATAATTTTGTTCAGATTCATCATCAGCTCTTGACGATGTATCCACTTCCCTCACTCCTCAGCTCAACAGCATATTTCATCTCGAGTTGGACAATCTGAACAAAATTATGACAAATATTCATGGTTCAAACTGTGTTGAACAATGCTGGTGGAATCAAGGTACAGCTCTGGACGTTTCCTGTCTACAAACAAAGCAAAATGTGCTCCTTGAAAGGGGATATGGTCATGACCCTGGCACCAGTTCAGGTTGTGCTGGGCCCAAATTTTCTGAGGGAGCTGTATTCAATCTGCCTACACTGAACAGTGTAACAAAGTGCATTCAAGAGTATTTTGTCGGGTTATTTGCATTGGTAGCAGCGGAGAGAAACAACTTGTTCCAGGATTTGGTGGCTTTGTCTCAGGTACTGGTAAAAAACTCTTCTGAAAGTCAACCATCGTCAGTATTACCCCTATCTTCCAGCCAGGCACAGAATATTCAGTCATCAAGGATCTGGAAGCAGTGAGAGGATGCCATCATGGAGATTGGTCAGAAGTGTTTTCTCAATACTTTTAAACTTTGTGGGTGCAATAAAGCACCCACAACCTATATCCCAACTTTCAACATGTGAACCATCGGCTTGGTAACTTCAAGCAAGCTAATAGGCCAATATTCTGTTGCAACAAGCCTTGTGATTTTTCTTAGATTTTATGATGATCCGTTTTGTGTGATCTTGCTAAAAGGCAAACAAACAACAGTGAATGCATAACCTCCTTGGCGGCAGTAATAATAAAGTATGTGTAGAGCGGGTCCTCCGTTAATTATAGTCATTTAAAGAATTACATGATTTTATGAGGGATTTTCTTTGTAAAACATCCACAAAAACGACTCATTGTACACGTGTAGTCCAATAATAAATGTATATTAGATTTATTGTGAAACTAAACATTGCATCTGACTGTGTTCATTGGTGTGGATAGCATTTGTGAACAGGGAGCTTGAATCACATTTGCCAGAAAATCATGGTCATTGAGTTTGACCATTAGTTTTTAGTTTGTAGCATGGTTGGACAAACATTATTAAAACAAATATTGTTTACACCATACATTAGGCCTATACCATTAAAAAGCGCTTTTTCACCAGGATCAGAGCGTTTTGTATTACATTTAGAGTGTAAATAAAGTGACTTCTCATATTTTTGTAGTTTCAATTTATCAAACCTGCTTAAATCATAGGTCATGGATCTCAATCAATTCCCAATGACAACATTGCTCTGAAAAAATGGTTATTTCTTTGTTTGTATAATATAGGTGAAATGTTATACGGATAATCAATGTTCATTTAAAAGACAATGTGGCCGCTAATGTGGCCGACAATATAGCTGCCAAAATGGCTGGGCAATGTATTACGAAGTCAATGTTTTGTATTGAGAAAATAAACACTTTTTATACCATAGGCCTATATATTTAGAGGTTCATTTGATTTTATATGATTTTTAGTTAATGAATTATACAAATAAATTATTTTCATTGACAACCCAATATGGCCGCCAAATGTATTGAGAAGTCAATTTTTGTATTGAGAACATAAACACTTCTTACTCTACACATTTAGAGATTCATTTGATTTTATATGATTTTTAGTTAATAGATTATGCAAATAATTGATTTTCATTCAAAATCCAAGATGGCCGCCAAAATGGCGCCAAACGACCCCCATGGGAAATTTTTTTTCGATGGGAACATCAAGATTCGTTCATCAGATACTTTGAGGATTACAAAAATGTTAGATAAAAAAATATATCCTGGTGGTGCATGGGAACCCCCGTTGCTACTAGACAATAACTGCAGTATAGCGAGTAACGCAGTGTTCGATTTTGATAGAACATATAGACCTAGTCAATTGACTATGGTTAGAACTACACACGACGTACCCATTCACTTTTACGGCCTCGAGATTGAGCCTTTGTCTGGGCTTTGAATAATTAATCGAATAAAAAAAAAACAAGTGAATAATAGTAGATTCTGAAACAAAGTGCTATTTAATAGTTGTTCTATTGAAATGCGCTATTTTCAAATCTGTAAGAGCATGAACGATCTGCTGCTCTGTGGGTATGTAGGCCTGTCACGCCAAAATTGGTCCAGACAATAAAGGTCAGGCGGACAGATTTTGACCGCCAAAATCAGTCATCCGGTCCACCAGGTCGATTTTAGCCGCTAAAACCGGTCCCCTAGGATAAAGTCGGTCCGTCGGCCTGGCTGCTTGTAACGCGTCTGCTGCCTGAATGGTATGAATGTTTCTCCCGTGGAGTAGAGGAAGTAGGCTAATTTATGCTTCTCTCCCACAGCCACACTTACCTTTTTAATAGGTAGACTACATTCGGCAGGTAATTTTAAAGTCAAAATTTACTGACAGGCCTATCACGATTCAGTCGTTGTATGAGCTTGAGTAATAGTGAAGGCCTGGTTCTTATTTCAGGTTTTACAGAAATTTGGACAGAGGCCAACCTATAATCAAGTATAAATTACCGTCTTTAGAAATGCATATGAGGATATGAAATGTTAACGCTGAACAGTAAAACCTTATGGGAAGAATCATCTAATTTTAATCATTTTTTATATTTTCTTATTTCAAAATCACACTAAACATATTATATTTTAAACGGTTGTAATAAAAGGGAAAAAAAAACACACCGGTCTTTCTTGAAGTCTAACTTAATTGTAATCCAAAAGAGCTGAAACTTATTATGAACGTATATACACGCAGCACTCTCAATCATCTTTCACCATGGTACCAACTCCCAGGTAAATTAGAGAGGAAAATTGAGTGTCTTGCCCAAGGACATAATTACGGAATTACTACCCTAATTGTCACAGGACAGTGTTGGCGTCAATACACCAGTGACCATAGTATACCTCCATGATCATAGTAGGCCTAGCTTAAACCTCCAGTGTTTAGGCCTAATCAATCTTACAAAAAAAATTGTCATCGCCTGGTCTGGCCTTCTTATAAATGTAAAACAAATGTCTTCTAATTGGCGTAAAAGCAAAGCAGGGATTCTTCTTTCCAACAATATTCGCATTTAGAATGTGTTCAATGAACGAATATCCAGCGCGAAGGTTTGAAGTGCAGAACTTGAAAATCGCGGTAGTCCAACAAAATACCGTCGGTCATGCCCAAATTATGCCCATACAGTTGTCCACTAATTGCGATAGGCAAAGTTTCACACGAAGGGTTCATCCATGCAACATAGATGATCCGTCATGCAATAAGCCTAAAAAACAAACTGTGAATGCCCTTGGAGCTCAGCCTATGGGGAAAATCTACAGTATCTGAGTGCATATGCGTACATGTGCTTTAAACGTATGCAAAACGAGTGTCTTTCGAATTTGTAAGATAACTGTTGTGTTCTGAGTGAATTTAATTATCTTATCTTGTTTGTGTTGGCATCATATATAGGCCTACAAGATGTAATCGTATTGGTAATCGTGTAAGAATTGAGTTTCCTAATCCTAATATCATACCTGGGGCGGATGCAGGATTTGGCGCTAGAGGGTGCGCGAGGGTCCACCTCACTGCCCCCCACCATGGTTGGGGCTGAGGGAATAGAAGATTTTGAGAATAGGGACGTTTCAGGCGCGGATCCAGAGTTTTAGCTCGGTTTCCATATAATCGCTCATTCTATCGGCGACAGTCGCTGACAGTTGTGGTTCACAGACGAATCGGGGTGCCTTCCCGATTTCGCAGTTCAGCTAGCAATGCACCTTGATTCGTCTGCGTCTGCAACGCAATCGGAAAAGTTTAACCAGGTTCAACCTTCCCGACAACTGTCGGCGAATGTCGCCGATAGGGTGAGCGATTCTATGGAAACCAAGCTTTACCCTGACGATCGCGGGGTCACGAGAAGAGAACGTAATATCTGCTTGTTCCGTCACTGGAAAACTATTTTAGTTGGGAGTATAACGTTCCATGGTAGATTACATCCACAGGATGCCCCTAAGTCAACATTTCAAAATGGAATAAGTTGCGTTTTTCTGAATCACGACAGACTGAGTAGATTAGGCCTACTTGTTAAAATGTAAACATTTAAGATTTTATTTTTAAATCACAGAAAATCACATATTTATCAAATTTGGTTGTGTGCGTTATACACACTGTTCGTAACACCCCACCTACTGGGTATACGGGCCTGGAAACTTTACATTTTACTTGCCAATTAATGCAGTATTATGTTTATTAGATATCTTCTCAAGTTCTCATTATTTTTTTAAAATTCTTTTTCCACTTCCAACGCTGTATAATTTGAAATTTACATACCATTCACGTCGTTGCTCTTCTTCAGATTCCGTGTTCATTTTCGGTCTCTCAGTACTCGGTGGTCATTCTTGACTTTCTTTTAGATGTGCTGTATCAATGTGTGTTCGTAAGTTTTAAGCTCTAGGTCTACAATTAGGCTACCAACTCCATTAAAGTCCTGTTTTTTTTTGTTTTTTTTTTGTTTTTTTTTAATGAATAGCATTCGTTAAAATAATGAAATAATAATTCTTTAATGAAAAGTAATAATTAAAATAATATGTTTTCGCTTTGGTGTAATTTTGGATAACAATAACAAAATATAATAAAATTATAAAAGTAAAGTAAATGTATTTAACTTCAGAATTTACTATTAATCACTTGTTTTATTCTTGCATTGATTCTACAAAGCTCATACAAAGAAAAGTGTGTCGTTCTATCAAAATCGAACACTAGATCACTGAGGCTGACACAGACTTAAAAACAGCGCATGCGCAAAATAAGTTCTATAAGGATGATTATGAATAATTTATGAGATTTTACCAAACTATCATACGTTACCCAAATTCGCTTGCAGCGTTGCAACTTCAGTGTTAACCTGAGAGGGCGTCACCGTGCGTGCAGAGCCATAGATAGAAAGAGTTGCGACGTTAAAAAATTAGAAGCCATTTTGTGTCATACGCGATGCGCGTTCTGTCTAACGTGATGTGCGTTCCTGTGTATAATATTTTATTAATACGGTTAGTGGCCTCCTTTATAGTTTAATTCCATTTAATCTTTTTAGCAGTCGAATTGCATGTAACTCTATTTATAGATTTTTTTTATATGATTTCACTAATTTATATCCAATTTCATATTATAAATACTGTAATAATTTACTATTTTAAGC